CTATATATATATATATATATATATATATATATTCTAGAAGATGGGTAAGTACTCCACGGTGCGCTCACCTTCTTCATTAATTCCACAGACAAATTGAAAAGTGATTTTAGAGATTTCCAGATCTAACTGCAATTTCAATGAAAGCTAGACAGCAATTCTCGATGCCAAATTGTGGCAACACATTAACTACGTAAAAAACGTAAGGTCAGGAGTGATACAAGAAATTGTGAGTGGATACCCTTATATAATTTAAGCTTCAAATCGAAACTCCTTTAAGCAAGCTCTTTAAACTTCTCTGTCACCTTAGGAACATTACTTTGTGTTCCCGAAATTCTCAACAGTTAGAAACAAGCTCGATGGTGATCAAATATAAGTTGATGTTCTTGCCCACTCTCAGTAAGTTACAATAATATTTGCTGGATTATTGAATTCCCACACCAAATCTAGACGAAAGTTGTCTCGATAAAAGTCTGTCTGAGATCAACTATTCAGAGAAAATACAATTTTAAACAATGCTTCAAATACCAATTTTATCAACATTAACGCAGGACGTTAAAAGCACAATTCCATTCGCAAACACAACAATTTGATTACAGATCAACGAACTTGCACAAAATCGTACGCTAACAATTTCATTAAAATTCACAACAAATAGACAATTAACAAAAGAAACACAAACAACGGTAAAATTGATCCCAAAAATGTATTAAACTTGGCAAATGTTTATACACAAACACAGATCTCATTTCGAGCAAAAAAATGATTGTACAAATACAACATCAGTTGTTGACAACAGTCACGGGAAAACAATCACACGCGATTTGACAGAGCAACCGCAGAGTAGAAGCCTTAATCCTATGATTGGGAAAAAATGAGCTCACGAACTTCTACTGAAATGCAAAAGTAGTAGTGTTTTAAGTTACCTAGATTTATCGGCAGAGCATCCTAACCAAAGGGGTAGCTGTTTTTCGACGAAGTTGAGAATTTGCAGCCGTCTTTGGAGGTGAAAGATTTCAGACCAGAAATCAAGCATTTCCTCAAAATCTTGGCGAGATTTAGAACTGCTTGGAAAGATGGCTGAACCAATAGTTAATCTACATCTCCGAGACGGAAATTCAACTGGAGGATCAGCGTAGGATAAGGGAAGTTCACGACCTATTTTGCAGAGATGTTCAAGCAAATTATACGCTAGTCACGAACCAATTCAAGCATAATTCTCGTACCAGTACAAACATAGGCTTTCCAGAGTGTCTCTAAGGAAGGAAATTCATCACCCAAGATTTCATTGAGGGAAGTTGCATTGGATTCTTCTGGCTTCCCAATGAGGATCGGTTTAAATGATTCAGCGATATTAAAAAGAGCCAAGAAATTTTCCAACATAACACGACGCCAGTGGTGTTGTCGCGGAGTTGCGACATTCCAGTCTAAAATTATATATTCGAATAAAAAAGTATTTATTAATAAGATATAAATAGGGAAGAATATGAACAGAACAGCATAACTGACAAGTGGTTCCAAATTCATTGACTTAATCATTCGTTCCATAAAGGTTCAGTAACAAACATATCAAAAAGAGATAAGTGTTAAAAAACAGGAATAATGCTAGAATTCAGTAAACGAATATTATCCGCATAACTTTGCAAATTAAATGAAAATAATATACTATTTTTTTATGTTAAAAAGTCACGCTTCACTAAAAAAATGGCATTTTACTAAAATAAGATTTATTTGAATATACTAGACTGGAAATTACGAACCGAAACAAACTCAAAGAAAGAACCGAAATAATCGCACTCAGCCTGTTTCTGACCTCAGTAAATGCATATCAAATCCATAAGAATTAAAAAACTCTAATGAAGTAACAGGAGATACATGGTGAATTTAACATGAAGAGGGATATGTGTTCGGTGAAAAAAAACAAATTTTAAGATAGAAGATTATTCATTAACCACAACATCAAATTACCAACAACTTCGTAAATCTTTGTGAACTGGTCAAAAAGCAGGGTTAATTCCGATAAATTATGCGAGAAAAAGTGGAGACTATATTCAATATTGAAGGGGACATGATTAACCTAAAAGTGTAATTAAGACCATGAATAGCAAGATAAGAAATATGGGTAACAATCAAAAATTCATTATATAAAACGGCTAACAAGATTTCCACAGAAATTGAGAAAGTCAATTTGGGCGGCGCTATCATTAAAACCTATCAATGCTTCTTCAGTATACATTTCCATTGATTTGGACAAAGCAATTATGTCTTTGATTCGTTGAAGGGAAATTTCATTCAATTCCAAAGACATTGACGGATTAGGTTTATTCATGTTGTATGTATAACTATAAACAGGTTAATGAAATAACAAATATAAGACATTACGATGAGCGATCGCTCTGTTTTGAAAAGGTCTGCGAATTAAATGAACCATTTGAAGACTCAGCAAAACTTTCTGAAGTTTTAGAAGACAACCATGACTTAGCTTTTTTCCGAAGAACCACCGCTTCGGAAGGACTTAAAAATTATTAATGCAGGAGAAATGTTACTTACGCTCCCCCCTGTCGAGGAAATTTAACAGCAACAGCTGGATTAGTTCTAGTATATGAGCGCTTAGGTAAGGCGCTTGGACTAAGGGATTCCAATTTCATCTTTTGTAAACTCCTAACCGATGACGGCTCTTTAGGTTTTACAGAGTTTTTGATCATTTCATCAGTTTTTCGAGAAGAGTTATTTGATTGTTTGTAAGGCGCCGACTTTTCGTACGCAATTTTAGCTTTAGATAGAGCAGATTCGATTTCCGAGATTATAGTATCTGATATGTTGGACGGTTCCAATTTTTCCTCTTTCATAATCGGAATTTCCTTTAAACTGCCAACCATCAGACAAAAACAAAAATACCATTTAGTAAATCCGTTTTGGGTAAATTCGTATAGACACTCAATATACTTTACTTCATTCTGAATTTGCTGTAATATAATGTCGATGTATGTAGTTTCATTGTCATAGGAACCCATCCAGGGAGAGATTTTTATAAATTATATAAAAATTTCATGCGAAAATTATAATCCGAAAGGGATTACCCTTTAGTATAAAATAGACGCCGCGGATTTTCTAAAAATAAACAAAGTTCAGTAATACCATATGACGTAAAGTAAATTTTAGAAAAAAATAGATAAAACTCTTATATTTTTCGTATTTACATTACTTATAATGCATTAGATACTATTACTATTAATGTAGTGCTAAATAGGCATTTTGCTTTAGGTAGCTCATGTAATTATAAATATATATTAACCACAAAAATGTATAATTTAGTCGTTATTATGGAAGAATCGTCTCTTATTTGTTTGCAACGATCATTTCCCGGAGCAGATATTAAAGGTCACGCATTTTTATTATTCGCTGCGTTACTCCTATCTCTGGAATTCCTTCATTGTGTACAGGCAAATGGATGGTAGACAACTAATGAGTGTAACCAACGATGGTGCAATTAGTATTAATAATAACTCAACCATGAAACCTCCCGATAAGCTCAATATCGACTTATCTGATCTTATTGATGATCTTCTCGGTTTGGCTAGCGCAGATGCCGGTACTATGAAT